TAGCAACTGACATATAATATGTGCTATTAGTAGCTTTATTGCCGTTTGGCAGAAGTCCATGCAGCCGTTCAGTCAATTTTCCCTCAGGTGCACTTGGGTGAAATAATCTTATGTTAACAAAGTACTCCAACGCCCGGCTCAAGTGGGACTCTGTTTCAAATGGTAATTTTCTTAATAGTTCAATATATTCACAGTATACAGTGAAGAAAATAAAGGAAGGGTAATCATACCTTGTTTTTCACTTCATTTTCTCAGCCTGTTTCCTAGCTAATTCAATCTATTGGATCAGTGGGAGGGACAAGGGATAGATTTAAAATGTTGCCTGTCAGATCAACAGGGGATTTAAATTAATGTTCTTTTACATGGAAGCATATGGATGGAAGCACAGAGTGCAGCTCTCTTTGGAAAATTACTGTCAAAACAGCAACATCTCTATTAGCTTCTGAGGCAGAAATCAGATTTTACTTGAGTTAACCTTTGAAAAGTGACTGCTCATTAATATCCTCTCATGCTACAGCAGCAATATTGCTTACTAACACCCTACGACACTTTGTACAGCTCTGTAAGTCTAACTTTGGCAGTAACACCCTATAGGCCATAAGGATGATGTGAAGGAATCAAAGTTACGTTCACCTGACAGTTGTTAGCGAGATCTCTTTTTCCTCTTGTAGAGGGAAAGCACACGTCTTCAAGGGCATAGTTTTCAAACAAGTAATGCAGATTCCGCTGTGTGAGCTTACTCTTTAATTCACCTACATTTCAGCTCAACCCAAGGCAAAAGTCCTATCTTCATATATAATCAGATACACACATTTCCTTAAAGTATTTCTTCCTCGGAAGGAATATCAGCATTTTCCATATGAAATTCTGAGTATCGTTTATCTGTCATTTCTTTATGTGCAAGCTACTCTTGCAATATATACAAAGTACTTGATTTCTGATATGAAGAGTTTTATCTGAAGAGAAGGTTATATGTTCAAAGCTGAACTCTGAAGAGTTGGAGAAAGCTGGAATTAATGCTTTATTTATGCTTTAAGATTACCTTCAACAAGCAATCCCTGCCTCAGTCAATGCCTGTGCCAGGCAGAGCAGTCTTGTCAGGATAGCACCCTAATGGGAATCTGAGGATTTGGGGTTTTCTATTACTGCTTCTGATAGCGTTTGCTGTGTTTCATCTTATACAAATTACTTAACCCTTCTGTGCTTCATGTCTTTCATTGTAAAATAAATATAACACTACTTCCCACTGACATGGAAAATTGTCTGGGCAAACTTGTATATTTTGTGGAATTCAATAGTCTGGTGATTGAAGCTACAAGTTCAGAGGCTCGATATTGCCTGGTTAGCAGGAGTGGGAAGAGACTGAGCAGGAATTCCACTGACATAGAGTTACTCTTGACTCATGCTGTTAAAATAGGAAAAGAATTGGTCTTTCTTGTATACACTTGTGCACATAGGACAGCATGCAATGAAAAGGCCTTGAATGTATTAGCAAATATCATTTTTTTAAATGAATGTGTGTGTATTAAACTCCTTACAGAAGAGTAACTTAAGTTTAAATGCATAATAATGACACTACTTCAGAGTTTTTAACTTTGCAACATTTTTCCCAGCTTAAATGCAGTTCTCTGACATCATTAATAATCTAGTGATGGAAGCGACATCTGACATGAATAATGTGACCAATGCAGACGGTTGTAATGAACCATAATGAACCGTTTCACATCACTGGTGAAATTTGCACATTCAAATATAGCCAGAATTTATTGGTTCTTGAATGCATCTCTTACCAACTCGATATCCTTGTTTCATATTCTTCTACCCATGCGTTGAGATTAAAGTCTGAAAGATTCACTAGTGACTGCTGTGTGCTGAGTAAGAGAAACCTTTAAGAAATCCATTCTGCAGAGGTAAAACCAGCTGCTATTTAAAGGAGTCTTGACTGGGATAAGTTACCTTTATACCTGTGTACATACAGGTAAATGTTCAGGTGTGTCCATATGGTACATTTAAATATACTCCTGAGCAAGAAAGTTGCATTAGTGACTGGGTTTCAATTTGAGCAAAAGCTTTGTCAGGATGAAACTATTAAGTGATAAAGCTAATACAAGAATATGCATTCTGAAGCTCTGAATGAGAATTATATGAAGAATACACTTTTTGAGATCTACGTATTTACTCTGCATGCTTGCAGCCTTTTTAAATAGATGTCTCTTTCTCAGCTGAAAAGAAGGAATGATTTCCTGATGATTTTTTTGTCTTCAGCATTTACTTTCTGTACAAAACCTTAGGAAAAATGTTGGAATGTCCCCTTTCTATTAAATATAAAAGCTTCAAGTACACTGCCTCTTCAAAAAAGAAAACTGACGAGCTCAGTTTGAAGCATATAAAGACAGCCCTTACTGTGGAAGGAATCAGCACAGAGCTTGTGACACTGATACAGCAGTTATTCAATACGGACCAAGGCAGATAATTACGTTGTCAGAGATACTAATTTAGCAGGCTCATACTAAAACAGTGAAGCACTAATTATTATATTTTGATTAGTCTCTTGATTAGTCTTGTTATTTTAATAATTCCATTTATAAATGCTACAGAAATCAATGCTCAATGCTGAATCCAGTCATGGGCCTTTGGACTACATGCTATGTTTTAAAAGGTAAAATGCTGTTTGTCTTGGTATTTTTTTTCTTTTCACTTCCACTTTCTACACCTTGCACTTCCACTTCAGGACTGCTTTCGGTGCAGTCTGTAAAATTTAGACCAATGAGATGGTTGTGCATTTTTACCATTTTACCATTTTTTAAAAATAACATTACAGTTTGGAAGACCATGATAGAAAATGAAAAATAGCATTCAGTGACTTTCATTCCTAATTACCAGGAGGAAAAATGGACATACAATCACCACGCAAAAGAGTTTGCATGTCAGCAATAGCAAATGTTCATAGGAAATAATTTGGTAAATTTTAAGGGCATTGTAATTAATCACTATGACTCGGTCATGAATTATAACTTGTTTTGCACTTGGTTACAAATATTTTGATTTAATGCTTTTTATCAGTTAATAAAGTTATTCAATTTTCTTTATCAGAAGGGATTTGCAAGACATAAATTTTAAGTATCTCTGATGTTGATCTCTTTCAGTTCATTTCTTCCATCCAACTTTTTATGAGTCACTGGATTATTGCTAAATCCCAGACACACTTTGGTGACTAGCTGAATTCAAAACAACAGTTGTAAAAAGTGGGAATCATACTGGATTATTAAACGGATGACTGTGAATCTAAGTTTTTTATGAAAGCCTTTTTTATAGTTTATGCACGACATTCTCAAGCCATTGCTGAAGGACGGCTACTGACCCTTTAGGGAAAGGCCCTCTTTAGCTTACATCGTGATAGAGCTTCCCTTCTGGAGGCTGCAAAATGATTTAACTACTAATGAATCAACCACGTATTTGTCATAAAGAAACTCTTTCCTAAAAATACCCATTACTGTCATGCACACACTAGCTCCAGATACCACATGTCTTTTGAAACTTGAAATGCGTCTGGAGACCGTTTATTTTATTTTCCAATAGGAGAAAAAAATAGGGGAAAAGTGTAGGGACAGAACGAAATGTGGTCTAATAAATGTATGGAAAATATTGTTTTAGAGGAATAAAAATACACCGCTTGCAACAGAGGTAACCCGTGGGCCAGGTAATACGGGTCTCCTGGGACTGCCAACCAGGGCACTACTGCATGTGCCCAGCAGCGGGCGGGCGCAGCCGGAGCTCTCGGTCTCCCCTGGGCAGGCGCCGGCTCATGGTGCCCTCGGCTCCTGCAACGGGAGCCTGGTGTTGGTGGGGAGGAGCCTCGTCCGTCTGTGCAGCCACCGTGTGCACTAAAATCCTCACAATTCAGTAAGGCTAGGTAGGACATGCCTGAAAGTTGAAGACAGTATGAAGGTTTTTAGGTTAGGTTTGACACATGCCGATTTAAACATACGGTTTTATTTGAAAAAAAAAAATACTGACCATTTCTGCTTAGGGCTTTGTCGAACAGACTCCACTTAGTAAAGCCAAAATGGCTCCAATCCCTCTCATTATCCCCCAACACTCCATCCAAATCTTCTCATGTCTCATCTGGGAATAAGTATCTTAGACAGACTGCAGGCCTTGTTATTTTAAAACTTTCCTTTCTTCTAGCAACTGCCCCACCTCCTCAATCCCTTTCACTTTCTTTTTAATTTAATAGCAGAGATATTGAACTACTGAAAAAAGGTATTTTCAATTTCCTTCTGGTTTAACTCTTGTGCTGTAGGGGATAGTTGCCTTTCAAGCTATACTGTGACTCTACTTGCATTTGCTGTTAACATCCACAGCAACTGTCAGCCTGCAATTTAAAGCAGTGGCCTGTATTTCTAAATCATGGCAGCAAGAAACACAAATATTTTTACATTTATGTGATCCAAGACAGGTAATGAATGGCAAGGTGAAAAAGTCATTCAAAAATGCAAACAGCACAAAGAGCATGGTTTTCCAGCCATCAAATAAATTACAAAGTTTCAAAAAGTAACACTTTTTTTCCTCAAATTTCTCCGAAGACAGGGTAAAATTGCAAACACTGTGTAACTGAATTGTTAGTGTGAGAAAAAAATAAAGATCTCGGTGTATACATTCATTGTCTTACATTTATTCATTAGCTTAACACTTGCAAAACACCACCCCTTGCTTAACCCTTGAAACAGACTCCAAACCCATTTACTAGCACACAAGATCGTTGAACTACAGCATCCCTTTATAATCTGTCGTTTTCCTCGCCAGAGGCCACAGTCCTCAAAAAAAAAAAAAAAAAAAAAAAAAAAAAAAAAAAAAAAAACGAATGTAAAAAAACAAAAGGGGGCGGGGGGGGCCGGGAAGGGCAGGGCTGCTCCATGACATGAGACACTGAACATGATGCTGGTGGTATGAAGAGCCCCTTAAACACTACTGCTGTTTCTGGATTTTGGTGTTATCTATTACCGTTGTTTGTTTTTTTCCACCACTTGGGCTTCTCTTTGGTAGTGGGAAATAATTTGAACAAGTACAAAGGTATTAATAGAAAGGAAAAGCAAGCCTGCCAACCATATCAGTAAGAAAGTGTTGTACCCTTTGAACTCCAGAAAGTATCCAGGAGCGAGCCACAGGCCTTGTCCGAGAAACCACAAGGAGAGCAGCAGCGCACCGCGCCGCCAGGACATCCTGAGGTTAGGGATGATGAGGGGCAAAAGGCAGAGATACCAGACAAAATACTGGGATGTGCACACTTTGTTAAAACTCACAAAAATGGCCGTGTGGAGGAAACAACAGAAAGCAAGGTCTCTGTAAAATACTACAGACACAACCACGAGCAGAAGCAGCTGGGGCAGGAAGGCTGCGAGCCCAAGGGCAAAACTCCATCTGCTCTCTGCAGTTAAATACAACATGTAGAAATAGGGAGAAAAGTTATGACGGGTGTCCCTCCTAGTCAGGTGGTAGAGGTAGGCGTGCTCCAAAAACTCCCAGCCGTAGAGGTAGTAGAAGGCGAATGTGAGGCTGCCCAGCACGGACCCTGCGACTGCTCCAAAAAGCAGCACGTCACGGTTTGTCAAGAGCTGCCAGAGGAACCCGAGCAGGGGGGACCTCGCTTTTCCGTGGTGCCCCATGGCCAGGGCCGCTCCGTGCCCGTGCTGCCTGCCCTGCAGGTGCAGTGCGATGGGCAGCGCGTACGTCAGCGGGTAGATTTTCACGTGCACGGCGAGCCCGTAGCAGGCGGCGGCCCTGGCCACGCTGCTGCCCTCCGTGTAGTAGAGGGTGGCCAGCACCAACAGGGCCACGAGGGCCTCGGCGTTGCCCCGCGTGGACACGGCCCTAGGC